CATTAGATGATGAGATTGTTGCGCTATACTCCAATAACACTTGGATTTTGGTTCCATGGGATCAAGCTTTAAAAATTACGAGAAATAGGTGGGTTTACAAAATCAAAAGACTTTCGAATCGGACAACCGATCGGTTTAAGGTGTTCCTTGTTGCCAAAGGCTTTCACCAATACCCGGGTATGGACTATACCGACACGTTCAGCTCAGTTGTCAAATCGATAATGATAAGATTATTGTTGTCTCTAGTAGTCATAAATAGATGGGTAGTACGGTAGATGGATGTCTTTAATGCATTCTTGCATAGAAATCTAAAAGAGCTAGTGTTCATGGAGCAACCACAAGGCTATATGGACTCGAAATTTCCCACATATGTATGTGCCTTAAAAAAATCCCTATACGGTCTCAAACAAACACCAAAAGCCCGGTATCGGTGTCTCACAAATCATCATGTCCACCTTGGGTTTAAGGGATCTCGGTTTGATACATGTACGTTTATGTACACAAAAGGAGCGAGACACCATATACTATCTCATTTATGTGAAAGACTTAATTTTCGAGTGGAAACAATGCTAGTCTAATTTGGCTTCTCAAGATAAAACTTCAACAATAATTTGCAATTAAAGATCTTGGCGAGCGTGCTTCCTTTTCGGGCATTGAGGCATATTAGTGCAAGAAAGAATTGACTCTCCTATAGTCTAAATACATCGAGGACATCCTTAGAAAGGCAAAGATGCATAAGGCAAGCTCAATTTTAACTCTTGCCAATACAACTAACAAGTTAATGAACTTAGGAACTTTGTTTGCGGATCCAACACTATTCCATAACATTGTTGGGGACTTTAATATCTTGTATTAACACAACCGGACATATCCTATGTTGTAAATAAAGTTGTTAAGTTTATCCATGCACCGACAATCGATCACCTAGGTCGGTTATTAAGAGAATTTTATGATACTTGGGGTCTACACCGGATCATAACTTATATTTCAAGCTTACAACTATCCTTAACTATAAATACATATACAAATACGGACTAAGGTGATGATGTGGATGACATAAAGAGTACTACAAGGTATGCCATTTATTTAAGTGGCAATCTTATGTCTTGATGCTCAAAGAAGTAGAGAACGGTTGTATGATCATCCACGGATGTAGAGTATCATGCCTTAGCCATAATAGCTTCGAGGTTACTTAGATTCATTCCCTCTTGAAAGAGATTGGAGATATAGTACTCATGACACCTTTCATCTAGTGTGACAATATATCTACCACCTACCTTGTAGTAAATCCTATTTTTCATGTTAGGTCTAAACATTTAGAGATCGATTTTCACTTCATAAGAGACAAGGTGAAAAAGAAAGAGCTCACAATTAGCTTCATTTTCACCAATGATCGGATTACGGATATCCCGATAAAATCTTTATCCAAACGATAATTTCTTCTATTACGGGACAAGTCGACTCTACAATTCGCGACTCAACTTGAGGGAGGATGATAAGGATATCATACTATTGAGATTATCTCTAACTCGGCAAGTTTATATTTACAAGTAATATAGCTAGAAATCCATATAGTATAGAAGTGTGTACAACACAAGTCCTTGTAAATAACAAACTCTATAAATTATATGTATAAATTTAGATATTTCATGAATGGAATTTAAGCTTGATCTTATGTAAATCTTTTATCGTATACATTTTACTAATTTTTGCTCGATCAGCTAAGCCTCCAATAATAAGACTACTATCGATTTAATGTTTTGACTCGAAAATACATGCAACGCTAATATGATAAGTGACAAAATGTGACGAGTTGGACTCAATTTGCCATGTAGGATTCCAAATCGGTGTCGATATGAAAAATTAGTTACAAAACTTAAAAGATATGTCATTCTATATGTACCTCAATTACAACAAAATCCTCAATCCTCAATTCAAATTAACTTTAAGCCTTTCAAATTCATTTTAATCATCTACGGTGCCTTGTTCTTTCAAATTCCCTAGTTCATTCTAATTACAACAGATTCATTTTAGACTTTCCATGATACCTCGTTCTTTCAAATTCCCAAATTCTTTATTTTCCTTCATTTATATAGATTATCCATCTTTTTCCTTCCTTCTTCCAAGAATTAAAATGACAAATCCACTCATCTTTCTCCTTCTTCTTCTCTTTTCTTGTTCCTAAAATCGATACGATAGATCCCTCTCATCTTCCCCGTCCTTCTTCCTCCTTCGTCTTCTCCTCTTTTCTTTCTAGAATCGAACCAACGGATCCTTCATTCTTCTTTCTTCATTTACTCTTTCCTTCTTATCCCCTAAACCCACATACCCTTCAATCCCATTCTCTCCTTCTATCGTAAAGAAATTGCTATAGTTCTGCTAGTGAAATCCCAAATCCCTTTCTATCCCTAATCCCCGAAATTCAAAATCTCAAACCTCTTGAGATAAACCATCAAGAAAATACCTTAAAAACCCTAACTCTCGTACGTTCAATCAGTAAAATTATATAACCTAAACCTATTTGTCTTTTGGTTAGTGTTTCTATCTACAATATGATAAATCATTTCAAGATTAGTTTTCATATTGATGGGGTTTTTAATAACATAAGTCTCATTTTTTTATGTTGGAGAGGTAAGGGTTGGATCAACCGAGTGGTTACAAGACCTTAATTTTATGAATTTAAAAGATTTATATGATATTATTGTTGAAGATGGATATAAGACACCTAGGGTAATGGTGTCTAAACAACCGGATTAAAACTTAACCTGGGGAGGTTTAATTATAGGTGAGGATGTGATGTTTATATAGATGTTAGGTATTGCATGTCAAGAAGGGTTTATAGACATTAGATATTTTTGTAGAGGCGGATGAGGATGTCAAAAGAAATAGAGTATTAACTCAAGAAAAAGGTTATGGTGATGTTTGGATGATAATGTAGGTAGTGATGTTTTAGGTGATGGTGGTTTAGGTGATAATGCGAGTGGGGATGGTTTAGGTGTTGGAGCTTTGGATGATAATGTAGGTGGTGATGTTTTGGGTGATGAATAGTGGTTTGGATGATGATACAAGTAAGGATGCTTTAAGTATTAGAGCTTTGGGTGATAATATAGGTGGTGATACAAGTAGTGATGATGAAGATTACATACCAATTAAGAAACCACAAAGTGGTAGTGGTTTAAGTAATGCTGATTTTGAAAGTTCTATTAATGAAGAACTAATTGAGGCTAGAAAGAAAAAGAGGAGTATGAGGAGGAAGTGTGGCTTTAGACTTCAATTCAGCGATGAATTGGCGTACCAACCCTATCGGTTAGGAGAAATTATGATCGATCTAAATGCAATATACTTCAATCTAATAAAGGAGGATATGTCATTGCATATGATAGCGAGTAGTGGGGATGAGCGAGATAATCCCTCTTGGAAGTGATGAAGATGATATATTTGCCTATAAGAGAAAGGAAAAAAAGGAAATAGTTTGTATATAATCCGACATGTTACCATAAGGATCTTGTTTTCAAGGGTGGAATGAAATTAAAAAAAACGAGACATTATTCGGAATGTCAATCAATTTTACGTTAGTGGATATATATATTTTTTTTGGATTGAAATATATTATGATCATTGTTATTTTTATTTGAAACTAATAAAAATTGTAATGATTACACATTGTTTATAACATTAATGACATTATTTTTTTCCTAAAAACAAATCAATAAAATACTATATATAAGTAAAATAATAATAATAATAATTAGCTCCGTCGTCAACGTTAATGCCATGGTACCTCTAGTCATGCAAAACGCACGACTCAATTTGTTCATTGCTCTTAATCGTGAGATTAGTTGTATGCTTGTAAAAGATCTTTCAGCATATTAAATGATATCATGATAACAGTTCTTTTTGTCGTTTAGGGAGGGAAAAAAACACAATCGGATAAAAAGAGTATTTGTTGGAAAAAGCCACCTGTATGAATCTAAATCTCAAATTCCCAAGCCATAAAATTAATTAAATAATAACAATTAATGTGAAAATAAAAAAAATTCAATCACAATCAACGCACGTTTTGAAAATCTTTAGGGTGGAAAATGCTACTAGACAGTCTAGACCGTAATCTATTTCAACTCTTTTATTATATCAAATAATAAAATATAATTTTTTTCTAACTCAATTTGAAAATTAATATACATCAAAACATCAAATCTATCATTTTGAAGATAAATTACAATAATAACTTAATAATAATAATAATAATTAGATCTTATGAAATCATTTTTTTAAAAAAAAGTCAAAAATAATTTTTTTTTCAATAATCAATACCGTTCAAGTTAAAATATATATATATATATATATATTAAAATTTCATCTTGATTAGATCAGGAACAACATGTCAAACTTTAATTTTAATAAGGTTTAAAATATCTTCCGATCAACACAATAAACATAGAAAAGATAGAAAGTGCACATTTTTCTTCTCTCTCTCTCTAAAGTCTCCCTTCTTTCCTTTTTATTTATTTTTTATTTTTTAATTTTGGCTGCTGCATGTAAAAGAAACTTCAAATTTTCTTTTATAGTCGCGTCATGTGACTTTTAGTTTAGGAAAATTCTTTCCTTTGTTATTTGTTATTGTGTTTTTTTTTTTTTTTTCTTCTTTTGTTTATATGAATTTTGGACTTCATAAGAAAGACACCCAAACCCAAGAGGGTTAAAGGTAGCCGCCAACAAACAGACCAACTCAAAGTAGGTAAGTGCAACTGTGCAAGTCACCAGGTAATAAAGGGAAGAAACAGCAAAAAAAGCAAGATAACATCCTTCATAAATAAAAAGACATAGTTTATTGTAATTCGATATGGTCAACAAAACTTGTATTATTAGGGAACAAAATAATATAGCTGAAGCTGACAACCTTTTCTTCTTTATTAAAAAAAGAAAAGAAAAAGAAAACAACGTATGTATCTTATGTATCTCAAACATCCTAGAGCTAGGAAAGGTGGTGGTAAAGATTTTTAAGAAGTGGAATTAATCTTGAAGGAGTCCAAGCGGCTATCATTTGCACGTACTTCTTGCCACATTGCAGAGAAGAACTCTTTGTAGGTGAAATTTTTATAGATTGCTGGATTACTATCTTTATCAATCAATTCCTTAGGAGGTCCAACTGAAGTATCATTTGATGGATGACAATTTGTAGCAATGGATAGTCGTTCTTTCTCGGGATTCACGATAACTCGATGGAGCAGACTCTTGTATCTACAATTGCTAAGTGCCTGATAAAATATAAAAAATAAAATAAGCCATTAGGTGTTAAAAACAAGTAGCAAGTAACAATCAATATAGAGATTAGTTGCACTAACCAATTAGAGAAATTCGGTGTACGTGTATAAGAGAAAAATTATGCAAAGGAGATAGAAAAGAAATTCTAAAAATTCAAAATGATGTAGAATATCTTTATTTTTAATATTGATCAAATCTCTATTTATAACGATTACGAATTTAAATTTTATTATCTTTATTTTTTATTTTAATTAAAATTAAATAATTAAATAAAAAAATAGATTTGTGTAAGTTTTAAGTTTAAAAACCTTTTATTAAAAAAAATATAATAAAGAATAATATAAAATTATTTATGCAGCTTTATTCAATAGTTTAAGTTTCTGTATCGATATAAATTTTCAAACTATCTTAGTTTTCCAATGATTATATATATATATATATATATTTGATAAATTTTAAAGCAATGACGACCTGTAGGAGGTCACCAACTTGAACAACCAAGGTGTTTGGAAAAGTCTTGATGGCCATCCACTCGTCATTTTGTAAAACTTCTAGCCCAGGTACGTCATCTAGGAGTAGCATTGTGATTATAGAAGGATCAGTATGAGGACGCAAGCCACAAGTACCCCCTAGCTCTGACTTTACACATCTTGGATAGTAATTCAGAGAGACATACTGTCCGTGTTTGCTTAGTGTTTTGTCTATGGAATCCCTTTCCATGCCTAAGCTTTCAAATATGGCTTCCATTAGTGCTATTTCTGCCTCTTTAGTACCTGTAAAGTACTCAGCTGCAATCTTCCTGTCAACAATGAATTTCATATTAACAAATCTCATTGCTAGTGAAATATTAAGAAACAAAATTAATGGAAAATGATAAAGAATTATCTATAATGTGCTCCTTTTTTTTTTTTTTTTTACCTGAAAGATGCAGGGTTTGAAGGCCACAGATTCACATAGTCTTCCAGAGGATGGATGGGAAATTTCAAGGATTCTCTCGAGACAAAGACATTGTTAGTCTTGTCTTGAAAGGCGGTATCATGCCTGATCCCGCTGCTAGGGTCAGGAGTGAAGGATTTCATCTTTTCTTCATCTGGCAGATGGAAGAACTCCCTTGTCGTGCCTATTATGTCATTGATCATTGTCTCTTGAATTCCATGGTTCTTCACCTGACAATATATTATTGGAACAAAATTAATAACAACATATTTGCACATATTTCAAACACCATTTATTTGCACACTAATAGACAGCATGGCCCATGACATGAACAATGAGGACCATTGTTCTTATGTCAACGAAATCAACGGTCCTGACTCCTAGTTATATTTGTGGATCAGTGATCTTTTTTCTTTCCTTTGCGTAGCCCTACTTAAACTAATACTCCATAGATGCATACCAAAAAGAAACCATAGTGCTGGCATGCATGGCCAAGCTGTCCGATGATATCGGAGCGGCGAGGACTGTGAAGGGCTTCCAGGTCGATGATAGGGAAGGAGCCCTCCAAAATCTCAAGCCCAGAAAAGGTTTGAGCATTGGAAATGGGATCAATGTAGGTTGGTGGAACATTTTTTATGGCCCCAGCAGGCAATGCAAGGTTATCATCAGCCTCTAGTTTCGTAGGAGACATGGCCACTAATAGTAAAAATGCAGGGAATGTCTCTAAATCAATGTATTGCTTGTGATTTTGATGATCTGAGTATGTATCGGTAACCCTATTTATAAGAGGAAGAAACCTATGATCGGAATGGCATTGCACGACAAATAATGTGGTGATCAGCGCAGGAATTGCTGTTTTGTTTACTTTGGTTGTTTGCTGGAAAACAAATATTGGTCCAATTAGTAGGTGATTGCAGTCCAATTAATGTATTGTTATTATATACAAGCATGAATTCTTATTTGAACTTTTTGACCTTCACTTGGACTGGAATAAATATTTTAGATTTTAATGATCGGCGTCAAAAAAAGAAAACAATTGTATATGGCTTGTAAAAAACAATTGAAATGCGAAAGTTGTTTAGATCAGATGGATCGAAAAGTGAAAGAGAATCGACTAACTAATCTAGCCTTCCTTTCCCCTCTTGTGAGTATGGGTTAATGGGTTCTAGATATAAATTTTGATTCAAGTTCACCAAATTAATCTCAATGGGAAAATGAAATGACTTTCAATCCAAACACTTGAATTGTTTTACGATGTCTTAGGATATAGTTTAATATTATTTTGCAATTTTTTTTTTTTTTTGTACTTGAAATTTATAGAGACACAACAAATTTCAAAAGATAATTTTATACTATTTCTAAAAATCTATGTGATGATCTATTTTATTAAAATAAATTATATGGTCCGTACAAAACAAATTACATGCATCAAACTAAGTTAATATTATCAAAAATCTATACAAAGTTATATTTTCTACATAATGGTAAAATTTAAGAGTATATGTATATTTGTTTATAGTGAATCATTCAAAGAATATCCTTACCCAGCTCCGTATCCGAATCCAATCATATGGTTTATTTTATGGTTTTTTTTTAAAAAAAAAATCAATGATATGTCATAGTAATATAATCTTGAATTTGATAGTTTAATCTAGCTAGCTTTAAAGTGAGTTCATAATTGTTAATAAATATATCCTATATTGAATAAGTATTAAAATATAAACTAATATAAAAAATATTGAATGGATCATCCACCATAATATTTAAGTTTTTTTTATATATATAAAATTCAATATCAACTATATAACTTAAAAGACTCAACCATTTAGTAAAAATCTTTCAACTCAAGTGACTTTATAAATTCTAAAAGATAAACTACAAGTAGAAAAATATAAGCTAATATAAAAAATATAAGCCATAAATCTTAAATTTTTAAATAAAATTTAATTTTAATTATTTAACTTTATAATAGCTCATTCTAAATGTCAAGAGCATGCAAAATTAATCTTGGAAAATTCCCCACCTACCGCGCACGTTCTATAACAGCATCAGTGCATCACTAAAGAGTCCTCCGATCTTTCAAGCATTGGACGGCAGAAAATTTCATTCTATCATCTGACAAGTCTGTTGAACCAAACCGATCTTCAATTACATGCAACAAATTGGTCAACACCGTCGTTTACTATTGTATTTTGCAGGATGAGCTTCTCCCTAAAATTACACACATTTGCACTGGTTTTCTTAAATAATGCTCTACTATTATTTATTTATTTGGTTGAATGTTCTACTATTATTTACTTTTTGGTTGAATGTTCTACAATTTATTTAATTAGTACTCTTATCTGCCTCTAGTGGAAGTGGATGTTTTGTCAAATTTTTATCATTTTTTGTTATACTATGAAGCTGTTAGTGGCCGATATCTGGCCAATTTTAATTGTTATTTCGAAGAATTTGTGGAGAATATATTATTGGCTAGTGGAATATATGATGGCTCACGTCATGACATTCTAGACAACTTTTATCATTTAAGCTTCAAAATTTACCCAATAATATATTATGAGAGTGAGTTATAAAATAAAATTATTGAAAAGCGGAGAATATGTTGTCCTCCGAATGCCATGAATCAAACGCCATTAAAATGATATATTCTCCTCCAAATTATGTCACAAATTAGTACATATCAATGGTATCTTTCAAATGTCAAAATAGTTCTAGATCAGCTTTTAATGGGTGGCCTAAATTTAGAATAAAACTTTTTAATTAGATGGGAATCAAGAAAATTCGTAATTAGAAATTTTTATATCATTTTCCTTTTTATTAAGCTCATAAATTGGTTGCTAAAAAATTGTATGAACTAACTCTTAATAAAATTTGACTATTATAATTACTATTACTACGCAATTTAAGAGGATTATCATAATTTTTGGAGTTTACTTTGATTTTATTGTCTTTCTATGTTTTGTATCATTAAGATTTTTTTAATATTCTATATTTATTCAAAAAAAAAAAAAAATTGGGATGAAATGCAAAATTAATAGTTAAATTTGATAGCATGTAGATACCTAGTTAAACGTTAACTGAACCGAATATTATGTTTTAGTGAAAGCAAACCTATCTATATGAAAGCATCCATCTTCGTATAGGCTAACTCCTTGGTCGAGAAGGCATATGATTGCTGCTAAGACAGGGCAGAATTTTTGGTCATACCTCAATGTCACGTGAATTGGCAGTAATTATTTAAGGGAAAAAGTGCGTCCAAACAAATATTGTTCTAGAAGCATATATATATATATATATATATATATATATATATATATATATATCAACATATCAACGAAGCTTAAATTTATTTAGTAATTAAAGGATAAAAAGACGTAGTTTACTGATAAAAAAGTTATTTTTATTTTATCAAGATTAAAATTCAGTTTCTACTATTTACTAGAAATTATCCATAATTGTTTTTTAATATTATTAAACTTAAATTAGTTTGATTTAAAATACAGTATAATGGTTGAAGAGTTTAATGATCTCCTTTTGTATATATAAATATTATGTTACAGTAATATATATATATATATATATATATATATATATATATATATATATATATATATATAAGAGTTAGTTAGCTACTAGAACATTAACTTTACGAGAGATAAGAAGGAAGAATGCACAACTTGACTCTCGAGCAATTGAAATTGATTTTTGAACAACGATTTGGTAAGAATGTTAGCAATTTGATCAATAAAAGGCAAATAACATACTTAATACACCCTTTCGACTTTATCCCTAACAAAGTGAAAGTATATTTCTAAATGTTCGGACCGAGAGTGGAAAATAGGTGTGATAGTGCGATAAATAGTAGATATATTGTCACACTAAATTTTTTATGAATGGTGAACACGTATACCAATCTCTATCATGAGAGATTCTATCTAGTCAATTTCGGTAGCGGCGATAGCTAGGTCACAATATTCGACCTCCGTGGATGAGTAGGCAACGAGTACATCACTTTCGAGAATGCCAATATATCAAATTCTTGCCTAGATAGATAGCAAAACCCAAGGTGCTTTTATGATCATTAACATCACCACCCCAATCTAAATTAATACGAGCATTGATAGAAAAATCGGAGGATTTTTTAATGTATATAACATGGTCACATGTTGCTTGAAGATAACATAGGATCCGTTTTAAGGCAACCTAATGTTCTCCAATTGAAGCATGTACATATTAAGCAACCTTGCTAAGAGAGAAGGCAATATCTATCCTAGTGATGCCAAGGTATAGGAGGGCACCAACTAGATTATGAAAAAAGAATGGATCAACAAACGAGATCCTTGGTGTAGCACGTAATCAAGCATTTAGACAAGCTAGAGTACTAATGCCATTAGCATCATACATGTACACGTTATATAGTAACTCACTTGCATATTTAAATTGAAGAAGGAATAATCTAGTGCTATCCTAAGATGCCTCTATCCCTAGAAAATAAGCCTACCAAGGTGCTTCATTGGAAAACTAGATTGAAGAGCAAAAATCAAAGAAGTTACCAATGCTTCACTACTACCCGTTACAACAAGATCATCCACATAGATTAAACAGAAAGTGAGATCCTTGCCAATGCGTTTGAAAAAGAGAGACACGTCTATTTGGGACCCTTGAAAGCCTAAGGAGTTGAGCTTGTTAGTGAGACATTTAAACCATTGGTGTGGCACTTGCTTTAGCCCATATGATGACTTGCGTAGCTGCGGACATTAGTAGAGCGAGCTTCATCAATAAATCTAAGAGGTTATATCATGTCGAAAACTTCTTCCAATGGGCCATGAATGAATGAATTAGAGACATCTAGCTTATCAACACGCCAATCATGAGAGACTCGCAACAAAAAGAATTAATCAAATAGCAACTAGTTTAATAACAAGACTCGTATGTATCGGTGAAGTTCGGACCGAGTCTTTGGTTGAATTGTTTGGCCACCCCCACTTTGTATCGATCAATGGTGCCATCACTATTGGTCTTCATCTTATAGACCCATTTATTACCAATGACATTGTAGGTGGGATGTGGTGGAACAAGCTCTCATGTTTCATTATCAAGGAGTGCTTGGAATTCAATAGCCATGGCTACCGGTTTGTAAGGATCGGATTGAGTCCGGTGGTAGGTGGATAGTTCTGAAGAGAGGCAATAATAGAGAAGGTATAAGGCTTTAACTTGTTAGTTTTAGAATAGGTCATTATGCTATGAGAAGGACTTATGCTTGTGCTCGTTAGAGGTCTAGTAGTAATGGAAGAAGTACCGGAAAGTAGAATAGGGATTGTAGTCTACAATACGAAGTTGTAGTTTTTACTCGTAGAGAGAGGCATAGTAGAATGAGAAATTTGGATTTGTACCATGACTGTGATGATTTGGTGAGAGGAGAGGAGTGGTCATGTGTTTGTGACGTGAGTGTTCAAGATTTAGCATAAGAATGAGACTCGTGCTTGGAGTAGAGATATCGATAAGGGATGGTAGGTTATGTGAAGGAGCTTGTAAAGGCGTTGTAGGTGGTAGCTAATAAGGTGTAAGGTCAACGGTAAGAGATATAGAAGGAGGAGGTAGCATGAAAGACCGTGGTTCGAATGTGAGATTGGAATGGAAACTGTGAAAGAAAAGGTAAGTCGTAAGGTCCGTGTTTCAAGAGAAATAAGTGATGGGAAAATAGATGGAAGTGGCAATGAAGTGACTTCGATGGATTGTAGAGTACTCGAGGAGTCCTTACATGACACAAAAAATGGAAATACCTATTCATCAACCAAGACATGGCATGAGATATACATCTTTTTGGTAGATAAATTATAACATATATAGCCTTTAAAAACTTTGTTATATCCTAATAAAACACAAGACAAAGAGCGAGGAATAAGTGTATGGCTAGTATATGGTCTTAACCATGGATAATATAAGCAACCAAAAATTTTAGGTTCGTTGTACAAGGGCAAGGTGGCAAAAAGGAAAAAATAACGAGACTTGTTATGAAGGAGGGTTGTGAGAAGTTTATTGATGGAATAAATAACAATATCAAAGGTATATGTCCATAAGGATAATGGGATAGATGTATGATGAAGGAGAGCTAAGCCAGTTTCAATGATATGATGGTGTTTTTACTTAGCATACCTATTTTGTTCTAGTGTTTTAGAACATGCACTTCTTTAGAAGATACCATTTTTGTGAGGTATTTGGTTAAAGCTTGGTATTCTCCTCCCCAATCAGACTAATATAATGCATAAACTCTTTATTTAGTGTACTTATTCTCCTATGATTATGAATTATTGGTGTTTAATTATTGAAAATTAATTATATAATTTTTATGAAGTAGATAAATATCAAGCTGAATTGATTTAAGATGAAATTGGATGTTTTGATAGTTGTTTGCCACAAGTCAAAAAAATGTAGAGTCGTTAGAGTTCCAATAGGACACAATGGCTCTAAATTGTGCCTATGCCCGATGATGAAATTGTAATTCTAGAAGTCGAGCGAATTCTCACGTATGGAAGTTGAGGAAAAATAGGATTTTACTTTTATCTTCTA